GGACCGCTTTCGGAATCGCCCCCTGTGAAGCCTCCCCCAATGGCTGCCGCAGAACTTCCCCACACCAAGCCTCGGCTGGTTACACGGCGAAGCCACTGGAACCCCTCGACTTTGGAGTCGTCCTGTTGTAGTTTCAGCCCGGATGCGATCCGAACTGTGTTCAGCTGATGACTAGCTTGCCGCAGTTAAGACTGGAGTGACTGGGCTTAGTTCCCTTGAAACCACATATCAGGCAACCCTTTATTAATTCGCGTAAGTTCAGGTTCTAGAGGGTAGATGGATTTGAAACTTTCACTCCCCAACGGCTCGACTAAAAGGGCTCCAAACCACCACACGGGAACCTGAATATACGTTGTAACCTTCTCAAGTGGGTTGGACATCCAAATGCGAGCGGTAGCGAGCGATCGAGGTGGCGCAGGCAACTCAGGACAAGGAAGCCGCCAAGGGACTGAAGAAGGCGCCAATGTCGCCCAAAGTTTCTGCCTGTTTCTGGGTGTGTACTTTTTGCCAGTTGGGTAACTTTTGTTTTGTGGTGTTCGCGGGGAAGGATGAGTCGGTGAGTCTGTTGCAGTTGGACGTGTGGCAATCTGAACCTGTGAAATCGCACCTCTTCAGCCGGTTTCTTTGGGGTCGTTGAAGGAATCCCTAGCTTTGGAGCAGCCAGCCACGAGAATTTCATTCGACTTGTGCTTGGAGATTCAATCAGAGCACCTCTTCAACCACTTTGGTTAAACCACCTTTCTGGTTAGAAATACAGCCTTTCGGTTTGGGCCTGGCGCGGCTTGGGGGCCGCTTGGCAGGCGCTTGCCCGGGAGCAGATCCGCTTTGCAGAGGCCAGCGGGGAGCTCAGAGCTGAAGGGGTGGGGTTCTTACTGTTCGGTGAGCCCCTTTTAGGTTGGTCGGTGGGTTTTTTGGGAGCATAGGCTGCATAGGTGTCCTTTTCAGTTGTCTTGCTCGAAAAATAGATGGCGATTCCTGGTTTCTCTGGTGGTTTAATCATCTACCAGGGCCATCTATTTCCCCTAAAAGGACACCTACAGTTTGGGGAGCCTGTTTGTTGCTTGGGCGGTGAAGCCGTGAAGCTTGGCGCCTTTGCGCTTTTCTTTCCCCCAGTGGACGCTGATCTTACCCGAAAGGAATCCTGGCCATTTGGGGGCCTTTTGCTGGGTGGTGGTGTCCGGCACAAAGCCCTGAACCCAAAGATGCCCTGAAGTGCGGGGGTGGTGAAGCTAAGCCAAAAGGAATCCCTTGCCATTTGGGTCCCCTGAGTCTCAGGCACACCGAATCTTCTTCGTGCCGCACGGCAGTGGTTTCCCTGGTGTACTGAGCAACCGGACTAGGCCACCGGCTTTTGGGCCCGGCATTGAGACGAGTGGTTCATATTGGGCCAGGCATGATAGACTTCGGACAGAATCGGTTGAGTTGATGTCTGAGGCCTCTTTGGGCAAGGACGACTTTCAGGTAAGACTTCCGTTTCTTGGGTGTTTGCTTGCGTTCTGAGATACGCTGGGCCCTGTCCGAAAGCCCCTAAGCCACTTTTTTCGCCCGGAGCTTCCAGGCTCGGAGCGAGCCATGCTGGACTCCAAAGTGAAGGCCGGGATGCGGCTGATGGCTAGGGGCCTTTCCAGTGAGCTTTTGGTTGGTTTGGTTTGGTTGGTGGGTTCTTTATCAGTCATTTTTTGGTTGGCTGATGAAGGATTTCGCCCCATTTGCTTGGTTTGGTTGCTCGGTGTGTTGGGCCGCTGTTTTTGGTTTGGTTGGTTTTGAAGAGCAAATCGCATCGCCTTTTGGGCACCAAGGAATCTGCTCTTGGTTTCCCTTGTGGTTTACGGATTTTTCCACAGGGTGAATGGTATTTGGAATGTTCATGTTTGAACAGGGTCGTGGGATCAAGGGTTTATCCAACCACTTCTGTGATATCAGGGAATCTCGCCCTTGATGTGGGGAGTTAGTCTTTGGGAAGCCCTTTTTGGTGTATCACAGAAGTGATGATTTCCCACAGCCCTGTGTTTGAATAACTGGGATTCATGTTCCCCGTTGAAAGGGACATGGTCATGACTGGAAACCGAGCAGTGACCTGTAGGTTGCAAGTTGATTGCTGGGAGGTGCTGAGATGGGTTTGCCTTTCCCGTTCTTGCTCGTTCCAATTCGCCGGAGCGTTTGGCTTCATCTTACATCTTTGCTCCTTACTTGACTTGGTGGTTTCTAGCGATCCACTTTGTTTTTGTTTGCTTTTTCGGGCTTAGCGGGGGTTTCCATTTAACCCACCAAAAGTTAAACTTTTCGCAGGTGATCTAAAATCAGCACAGTTTAGTGATGGTAGAACAAATCTGAAGCCTAGGACATGGCACTTCTGAGGCTTTGCCCAGGGACATCCCTCATTGAAGCCGCTTAATCTGGTGATGAGCTCGCCAAAAAGAGGATAACACTTCACCCCAAAATTCCATTGCAGGGCCTTCGTCGGTTTTGCGAATTGTCTGAGTCTTGCTGATTTGTGAGTGGCACTTGAGTTTGTCAGAACTGCGAAGGTTGAAATTTGGACCCCTGACCTGAATGAATTTTAATCCGGATCTTGCTGATGAAGCACCAGTTTTGACTTCTGTCTTCTAGGTTGTGAAAGTGCGAGTCCGGGTCTTTTGGGGTGACAGAAACAGAACGGCAAGAGTGAGCGCCTTTCAGGATTTGGAAGGGGGAACCTTGACACCAGGACCTCACTCTCAATTGAACCCGAGGAAACCCTACGACTTGAAAGCGGAGTCACGTTCTGGAAGTTCTTTCAGGGTATGGTTCGGTGATGTTCACCTTGCAGCATGGCTTCAAGGTCACGGCGTGCCTCAGCAACTGGAAGCTCTCAGTTCAAACCGATATTGATAAACCAATCAGCTCTCAGTTCAAGATAAATGAAGAAAAGGAACCTCTAGACGGCTGTGGCTCCAAAACATGTACTAAAATGGCACCTTGGTGAATGGAGCCAAAGACTAAAACCCGCGGTTTGCCCTAGCTCTTAACATTTTGAGCCACACCCATACGGGTATGAGTCAAAATTAAACCACCGGGAATTGGACCGCAGGTTTTCGTCGTCCTTTCCAGCCAGGGCAACCCATTTTGTGGTACCTATTTTTGACCCATAGCCATATACAACCGGGTAAGAAGGCGAAGCACAGGCAACCGGCCACCGGCAACCTGTTCGGACCATCGAGCTCAGGAGCTCGAGGAGCAGCTGCAGCCGGGACCGCGGATTTTGCTTCGTCACGGATCCGGAAGTGCCCAGATGGCCGTGGTGGTCAAAACCAATGGGATCCCATTTTGGGGTAGGTGCACCACCCATTTTAGTCTATAGCTATTATGGTGGGTCAAAGCCGTTTTGGATCCCATTTTGGTTGGTAGGTGAATTCACCAACCATTTTAGGCTTCCTATTTTAGTGGTTGGATTGAATCGGATGTTCACTGGGGGTATGATTTGGATTTTGACCAATGGCCAGATCAAGTTCAACCATGGCGGTTTGTTTCTTGTAGCCCGGTGTCCCTGACCTTGGGATTCAGACCAGGGGAGATGGGACAGACACCCCACTGTAGACTTTAACACTTGTTCAACTCGAAAGGGTAGGGGCCATACAATTAATATGTCTTGGTGGCGCGGGTGACAAGGATAACCTATGCGAGTTACCCTGGTGAAGGTTTGGGGCAGTCCCGCCCATTTTTTTATTTTTTTCCGACACCTGTTGGCGTCCCGTTGGTTTCCGCGTCCCTATTTCCAGCCATACGCACCAGCAGGCTCGGAATTGCGCCCTTTTGAGCTTTGATTCCAGGCTTTGATTCTGCCTCGGGTTGGCATTCAATTCGGTCAGACAATACCCAGAGACCTGATTTGAGAGCTTCGCAGAGTCAGAGTTGCTGATGGTTATGACCTGCTTATTTGACAGGATTTCATGGTGGTTGAACATGTCATACCGAACTTTGGGGTGTCATTGACCAAGCAGGCATACTGAAACCCCATTTGGCTCATTGTTGTGGTTGCCATCCCATTTCAACCGATGTCGTCATGGGGAGTTTTGTGTTGGCATGACAGAAAGGGTTATGTACCACCACCATGGACAAGATTCAGTTCCTGTCAGGAACTGAACATTGATAGGAAAACCGCAATCTCTCTCTCTCTCTATATATATATAATAGAAAAAAGGGGAGGGGGAAAAAATCGAGAAAAAAAAGAGATGTGAGTCCGTCCAAGTCAAATTGCTTTGACATAGATGGAGTTCCAGTGGTTTCAGTTTACCTCTAGACTCATCGTTTGTCAGTCAAATGCATTTGTGTTTCCAAAACGACATGCATCCACACGGGGCCAGGCATCAATCTGGAACATGAACGCCGCAATCCGATTGTTGACGGGGATGGGGCTAAACCGTTTTAGTTATTAAGACTGTGTTCACCTTTATTCTGGCATGGAAAGGAGGCCCCCTACTGATTCAATTGCTTGAACCGTTCTATCCATTTAGTGGAAGAAATTAGAGGGAGGCAAGTAGTTGTTTGCCTATTTTAGGGCAAACTCACCGATCCGGAGACAAGGTCCTTTACGAGACTCGATTCTGTTTTTTCAGTTTTTGTAGCACAAGTTTTGCAGACGTCAGCACCTTCTTCCACGGGCCATCAAGTGGTACTCTTATCCTTGTTTGGTACCAAAGACCCCAAAAAGACCTCAAGTGGTTTTGAAGGGAAACCAACAGGAAACCGTTGCCGTTTTGTGGGACTACCTTAAGACCACCTGATTTGGCTATGGGTCAAAATTAATTCACCAGAAAACCACAGGTTTTAGTCCCTGTTTCCATGTTCAAGTCCATTTGGGTGTTTCCATGTTGGACCCACACCCATTTGGGTTGTTTTTTCCTGGCAATTGGATCGGATCGGATTCAAGGGGCGCCGGCCAAGAAAGGGCCACCGAGCCGGGGGCCTAGGGGCTGAAGAGAGGGGCTGAGGAAGGGCTGAAGAGAGGGGCTGCTCGAGCCACGTGGGGCTGTTGTCAGAACCGTTTTGGGATCCCATTTTGGTTGCTAGGTGAATTCACCCATTTTAGGCTTCGTATTTGAGTGGTTGGATTGAATCGGATGTTCACTGGGGGTATGATTTGGATTTTGACCGGCCACATGGGCGGCGTGCTAAAGCCCATGTATTCGGTTTAGTATTCCGAATGTCCGGGCTTACATGGCATGAGCTTCCCACTGTGTGCGCGGAAGAGACGCGGAAGGGCGGCGGAAGAGATGTGGAAGGGCCAGTGACCGAAGACTTTGATCGAAAATCAGTGATAACTTGTGTGTAGATTTACAATGGGCGCGGAAGTGCGGAAGGTTTACAGAAGGGCGACGGAAGGGCAGTTTTCAGGAAAAGTAATTTTGCATAACTCGCACATGAGCGGGGCCAAAAGGCCCTTTTGCGTGGAGTCCTTTTTATTGGGGAGGGAGGGGGCCGCGCTACCAAATGCATACAGAAATATATAGATGTATGCATGTATAGACATACACGACATGCAAAATAGAAACCATACTCCAAGCAAACGGGCAGGCTTTGAGGGGACTCCTTTCAACCAGTGCTCAAGTTGCAATTAATTATCCAACAAACAAAGGAACCCACCCCGAAAAAAAGAAAAAGGAAAAGAAAAAACAAGCACAGACCAAGCACGAGCGTAGCACCGCAACACACTGAATGTTTGAGGGGTCCTCGCAAACACGGCGCCCTTGTTTCGAGCCTGGAAGCTATGTACACGCCCGCGGCTTTGGATTTCCCAGGCGCGACTCGCAGCTCACGGAGCTCAGATCGCGCCTGGCCGGGGAGGAGCGCTCGCTCGCTCGAAGTGCGAATTCCGAAATGCGGCTCCGTGTTGTTGTTTTTGCTTTTGGGGGTTCCTTCCGTTTCCTTAGGTTTATTTAGTTGTTTTTAGATGGTTTAGTTGTTGGGTGTCCGTCCTACCTACTAAAAGTTAAACTTTAGCAGGCGATCTGTGCACAGCGCAGTCTGCTTTTGGGGTTCTATTTGTTCCGTGTTGGTTTGTTGAGTTTTAAGTTCCTCCCTCTTGAGGTTTGCTTTTAAGGGGTCCAGAGTTGTCAAGAACACCCAGGATGATTTTTTGGGGAAATGAGTAGTGGAAGGTGGCCCTCCTGTAGTGGCTTCAGTTGGTGGTTTGGGGATTCTTGGTCCCCTTGTAGAAGATAAGTGAGACCACTTACCAACCTCCAAACCACCAAAACAAGTCACCAGTCAAAGGGAAGCTAGTTGGTATAAAATATAGATTGGCTTCTGGATTTGAACTCCTGGGAAACCCAACCCAAGCTCCAAGCTACCAACAAAAGCGAAGATGTGGACACTGGTGCCACCAACTGAGTAGCTCAAGCACCCCTAAATGGGAAACCATCCCCATCCACTGGTCCACCCAACCACCAAATGGGATTTCCGGGGCATTTCCAGCTGCATGGACCTTTCGCTCCCGTAGGAGCGGGAGGGCCAAGAGCTCCGCCGCCAGCTCAACCAGGCGCCGACGGGGCCAGCTGCGGGGGTAGATGCCACCCCCCAGCTGCGCCGTCTCCCATGACCAACGCGAAGTCCGCCTGACTGCTATTGGGTTGGATCTTGAGACTTTAACTTTTTGGTTGAAATCAAGTTGGGTTTTTCACTCACCCTTCAAAAAGTTAGACTTTTGCAGGGGGGTCAACAGCAACCAAGCTCCTGTGCAAGTTGGGGGGTGCTGGAGCTATGGTTTTTGGAGGGTTTTTGGGCTGGTTTTGACCTGAGAAATCCCGTCCCCTAGATATTGAGGGCCGGGGCAACAGGGGAGAAAGACTATCAAACAAAGCTTCAGAGCTGGCTCTGATTGGATTCAAGGGTTGTGGTCAAAAATGGGCAAAAACACCGAATCCAGCATTGGGAAAAATATAGCTGCTTCTGTTTGGGAAGAAGACAAATGTTTCGTCGTCGTGGCTGGTTTGAGGTAATCACCTGCGCAGAGGGAGGAGTCGTTTGACTATTGTTGGCCTGAATAGCGGCATGTTGATTCTTGCCTTGTTCCCACTGTGGCAGCGACCACTCGCCAAAATATCAACTTGGGACGCTCCCAGCAGCTTGCGCCTATGGTCGAGACACCGGAAGATCCTCAACCCTGCACCTCTGAATCCTTTGCTTCGTGCCTTTCTCTGGCACCACAGTTGCAACTGGGCCCAGGACTCTAGACATCAGGAATAAAAAAAACAAGCTCCGATACGGGGTACATCAGCCAAGGTCAAATATGGAAAGATTCCCCTATGTCCAGTTTGGGAGTTGTAGTTCGGACTTGTTTTGAGTCGTCTACTCAGGAAGTGAGCCAAACCAGCATTTCGCAGAGAACTTTTTGCTGGGTGTCATGGACCCAGCCAAATCCAGAGGGGGAATGATAGTAACGTTCAGAGAATTCCGGAAGGGCTGCATCAAGCTTCCCTACACGGCACCTGCGAAAAAATGTTGATGTTTCAGTTGCCCTGGATTAGTGCTATGTACCGAAGTGGGTGAGGGAAACTAGTATTTTCTCGCAAAATGCTATGCATAAAGATGTGTTGGTTTCCCTTGTTGGTTTTAAAGGGAGTTTACTAGAAATAGGTTTATCTTTCCAGGGGGCTTCTCAGCAAATGGAGGTATGTTAGTGGGAGGAAGCGGACGAAACCATCTCCAGAAGGCCCCCTGAAACCAGGACAAGGTCCCCCAGTAGTGCCCTTTCTCACCAAGCTTCTTGGGTGGGAGGGTCTCCCCTACTAAAATAGTTGCTACCAACTTCTTGTAACCTCTCTACTAGAGGACCTAGAAAGCGATCAACCTGATCTGACTTTGCAGTGGCCCCAAAAGGTTGACGTAAACAAAAAAAATGGGTACCAACTTATTCTATCCTCTCTACTGGAGGACCCAGAGGTTTCTGTCGGCTTCCTCTTCAGGCGCTGGATGAGCAGCAGCTAGCCCTCGAGAAGGCGTGTTTCGGGAACGAGCCGGCTTCAAGTCGGGGTGCCTTTTTTTGGCCTGGTAGGGGAGCCAAGAGGAAACATGGCTGTGTCATTTTTTGGGGGGGACCCCCCGCAAAAAAATAAACATGTGGGCTTTCCTTTTGGCTTCCCTTTGAAAACACCGAAAAAAGGGGTCTCCTAAAAACAGACACACATTTGTTGGGGTCCCCTAAGCCCGTTTTGTTGTGTCTGGCATTCGGCTTACTTTTGCTGGCTTGGGGAGTTCTAAAAGGGACGACCGTTTCCCCACAAAGAGTAGGATGATCATGATCATGATAAAATTGCTTTGACCTGGGGGGGCCCCCCATGTCCTCCCCACACCATCAGTAGACCAGCAACAGTATTTTCAGTGGCTGAAATGGAAGCTGGGGCTGAACGAGCTTCCGTTTCAAGTAGCCACAGCCCAGGGTTCCCTTGAAACATGTTCGAAGCTTGTCCTCGTGAATGAGGAAGCTATGATTCGGGGGCTTAAGTTCCGGCCCCGGACACCGCCCCGCCCCCATGCTGTAAGGGTCCCAAGGGATCGCGCGCTTGGTCGCGAGCCAAAACCTAGGTCGGGATTCCAGTGAAAGGCTGCAGCCTTGACGAAACATGGACCAACTTGGGAAACACTGGTTCAAATTTCCAAACACTAAGTATGTCAGCAAAAACACGCTGTTCTTCACACCACCCCGACCCCGACCCCCTCCCAAAAAAGAAAGAAAAGAAACAAACATAAACAGCATGCTCAAAAACCGCGAAGGATCCTTTTCGAACAAGCGGCAAGCAGTTCTACCATAAGGACATTACAAAAAACTAGAATGGAGTTGTGGGAAACTCTGAAACCAAATGAAGCAATGATCACAGGAGCAACATTCTGTTGTTTGGACTCTTCTTCTGGCCTTTGGAAGGTCCGAGACTTTGGACCCTGGTTGCACTCGATTAGACGCCTTGCACTTTTCAAGACCAAATCCACAAGTTGGAATCTGACTTGTACACGATGTACACGATGTTTCGTCGAAATGTGGAAGCACTGGGCAGCGAAACTTGGTAGCGGGAGGAGTTCTTCGGATGGTTGCCAAGTCGCCTGGCAGGGTTCCATTGCTTGACCCCCAAGGTGTCTACTTCTGGTTCCAGGGTTCTCCTTTGGAATCAACCACGATGATGTCTGATCCGATGGAGCCCTGGCTCTGCCTCTTGGGTTCCCCATTTCGGCCCGTTTGTTGGTCGAGGTCCCAAAGAGATAACACTCAACCTTCTATTTCCATCGGGCAAGTGGGAGTTTCGGTACCCCTTCACTGCCCAAGGCATTAATCCCCGTGGTTCTCAACAAAAAACCGCCCGGGAGAAATGGGCGAAGGGTCGGTTACTGCCTTGCCCGGGATGGGAGGCAAAGGCCTGGGAGCAGCACCTGCAAGACGCGCAGGGCCGCATTGCGGCCGGGGGCCCAGAAAGCCGGGCTGAGCCGGGGCGAGATGCAGACCATGCAAAAGACTCCGCCACTGGGGAAAGCCACTCAACAGGCGATATGGCCATGGGTCAAAATCCAAATCGTACCCCCAGTGAACATCCCAATGTTCACTAAAATAGGTTCTAAAATGGGTGGTGAATTCGCCTACCCCAAAATGGTACCAGAGGTTTTGACCCACAGCCATATGTCCAACCAAATGGGAAATGTGTCAAACCCGCATTTGTCCTTACTTGGTGCATGTGAGGCAAGTGCAGAGCGAGATTTGGATGGCCTCACGCATGTCCTTACCAAAAGTGACCTCAGACCATACTGATAAATGTTTTCTGTGGCTCATATGCGCACAAGCTGACTTCGTGAAGTCTACGTTCCAATTCCTGGGACCTGATTCGGTTTCATGATGACCCGCCTTTCAAGCGTGGCCATTTGCTGCGCGTAATTGCCTGATTCCAGAGGAAAGCCAGACCCCCAAGTTATGGGACACCCTAATTTGGGGCCTTCAGCAGTTCCTGCTCGCAACGTAAACATGAAAGGGGGGGGCGTTACCGTCTTTGGTGCTGAGTATACATGGATTAACACCTCTAAAGAGTTCACAGCTGTTTGCTGGTTCCAAACCCTCCCACAAATTGGATGAGTCTGCAAATGAACACAAAAGCCCATGGGCGACTCTCTTTTCCAGTGACATGTGACGGTAGCCTTCCAGGACCTGACGGAAGAGCTGGAGGCCAGCGACCAATTTGCCGAGCGCTTGGGTTCGTCAAAAGCATCGGCGAAGGCATGGTTTTTTTTGGGTTTCACCAGGCCTTCGCCGATGCTTTTGACATCTCTTGACCATGCCATGAGTTGGCTTTTGGGTGTTGACACCTATCCGTTTTTTTGTTTTTGTTTTTTTGTTTTTTTTCGTACGGTTTAGGGGGGCACAACTTACGAAGCGCAGCACATTATCACTTCGAAGTTGGATGCCTGAAGGGCTGGACATGAGAGAAAACGTCCTGTCCTGAGTGCTGGTATTCCCTTTTTTGGGTGGCCATTGTCGAAGACAGTTTCACTGGCTGCTCGCAAAACAGAACACACACACACACACACGCGCGCACATGTTCCCAACCTATGGACTGTGAAACGAAACAGATTCAACAAATACTAGTCTACTTTGACGTTGGTTTCATTGGAGCTTTCGACCAGGAGATTTCAAAACAGTCGGCTTCGTGGCAGGTCCTTTTTTAATTCGTCCCCAGAGGGCGCTTTGGACGACATGCTTGCGGAAGATACTTTCTCAAGAAGGTCGCTGTGACAGGAAAGTCTTCCAGAATTGTCCCTTTCAAATTCCATTTTGCAGCTGCGGAGACCTGCGGACTCGCTAAATTTCCCTATAAACCAGGAAAAGGTCCAATGCCCCGAATCTCTGTGAGGGTACATCGCGTGAGCTGTAACGCCCGAAGCTCAGATTTGTCCCAGACTTTGACTTTTTGGGAAATCAAGTTGGGTTTTCCACTAAACCCCCAAAAAGTTAACTTGTTGATACATTTTGCAGGGGGGTCAACAGAAACCAAGGACTTTGGTTCATATCTTGCTTCCCTGACTCGCGTCCCAGTCGCATGATTTTACCGATTTTTTGTGTCTCGAGCCATGCGTCGCACATCGGCAGGCCGTCAGGAAGGTCCGAATCGACCCAATGGCCGAGGCCCCTCTGCGAAGCGGGGGGACGAGTTGGGTGTGTGTGTAGTTTGAAGGTACTTGTTTTGGAGTAGTCTGACGTCTTAAATTAAAGGGAAACCACAGGGAGAAACACGAATTAGATGTGGCTCCTGGTGATAAAACGCACAAGTTCAGCCAAAAACCTCGCACCTCGACTCGAAGTTCAGGTGCCGTCAAGGGAGCCCCTGGGTCTTTGCATGTTGCTGGAAGCTCCTTTCTGCGTCCGAGCCTTGAGGTTGAAGTAGCTTGAGGCTCTTAAAGGGGATGCCTCGATTGTTTCTCCCCCCGACCTTCCTTCCAGTACGGTATATCCACATGATCGAAATCTGTACAACCTCGCCTCTTTTTTTTCACCCCGTCTCCGATGTTCCGTTGGCGAGGCCACATGTGCAAGCGACGCGTCCTTGATGTATTGATGCAAATAGGCACACTTGGGCGGTCGGATATTTGCGTGCACGCCACGATGTCCTCTTGAATGACACTATGACGCAAAGCAAGCAACAGCAACGCAACAATTCTTGGAAGTTTCACTCTGAATCGTGCTACTATGTCCCTGCCTTGAAGTCTCTGTGTTCAACCCACTTACATAGTAACTTAGTACGTCATGACCATGGCTAGTTTCCTTGCAGCCATGGGTTGCATCCCACCGTACGTACATCCATTCAGGGTTCAAGCCATATTTCTAGGACTAGTCACTAAACCCATGATACACGGTTGTATTTAACTTTCCCCTGTTACAACCATGATCGAACACAACAAAAGCAAAGCCCGCGCTGGCTCGACCTGCTGCTTTGTCTCGAGAGAGGTGGAGGTGATCGATGCCGTAGAGGAGGCATGCGGGCCGGCGCTTGCCGGCGATCGCATGAATATCCACCAGGCCCCACAAAGCATTGCCAGGGTTGGTTTCAGGGTTGGTTATAGGGTTAGTTGCAGGGTTGGTTTCAGGGTTGGTTGCAGGGTTGATTTCAGGGTTGGTTTCAGGGTTGGTTGCAGGGTTGGTGTCAGGGATGGTTGCAGTGGTTTCAGGGTTGGTTTAGGCTTTGGTTTCAGGGTTGGTTTTAGGCTTTGGTTTCAGGGTTGGTTTCAGGCTTTGGTTTCAAGTTGGTTTCAACATCATCAGACTAAGCCTGGAGGTTTGATTTGTTGCCTTTTTGTTCCTTCGACTTTCCTTTCAACCAGCAAACATCCAACTTTTGCAGGCAAGTCCGCTCAAGAAAAAGAAAAAAAACAGTTGATGGGGAGGAGGGCAGAAACTCGATCGGAGCAACTCAAGGGGTTGAGGCTAGATCAAAGATGGCGAAAGCTTCCCAACTTCCTGCGCTGTATCTGTAAATTCATACTTTTTGGGTTTGGGCCAAAACAAGTCTCACGGACTTTAAACTTTTTGGGAATACCATGTTAGTGGGAAAAAAACAAGTTTAGACTTGTGTTGTTTTTTGCCAAACAACTCAGGAAGTGAGTAGTGGTAACATGAAAGTTTGGACTTCCAATCCACTTAGGAACTGGGATCATGCGCTGGCAGGGCTTGATTCAGCACCAATGAGGTCTGATATTCGCTCGGAACAGGCGGCCGAGCTGCCATCCCTTGTATTTCTTGGCCATCTTCCACTAGGGGGGCTTCGACAAGCCTCAACTGCAGAAGTAATTAAAACGAGCTGAGCGGGGGATTCCTTACCCTCATATTCGATGTGCAATTGGGGGTCTTGATTGCCAGGTATGAGGCAGACGTGTCAGGTTTGTTGCAAATCAGGGGATAGAACCCCAAAACCCTTGGTTTCCATTTGGCTTCTCAGCAACAAACCTAAGCCTCCCCCCCAAAAAAACCACCCACTCTAGTCAAGCATGGGATTGTGAAATCAACCTTTGCTTCCGAGCCTCGAAGTGGCGAGATGTCTCTGCAATCTGAGCCGGTGCTGATGTGGCCATGGGTCAAAAGCCCGTACCCCCAGGGAACATCCCAATCCCCACTAAAATAGACTAAAATGGGTGGTGCACCTACTTCAAAATGGTACCATTGGTTTTGACCCACAGCCACGTGATTCCTCGAAATCTGAGTGATTTCTTTTGCCGCGCTTCCTGAAAAGCATAACCCGACTGAAGTGCACGGACCCCTTGTAGACCACTACCGTCCTTTTGGAGAGGGCCAAATTGGCGCCAGGCTCATTGGCATTCCTTCCCCGAGAAATCCAAAGATTGATGCGCTTTAAGAACCCTGGAAATACTCTTTGGGGCATTTTGCTTGGATATCACGACTTTAGCTTGTTGCCAACTAATGGGTTTTCCATTAAACCACTAAAAGTTAAACTTTTGGGAGGGGAGCAGAAAGCAACCGAGTACCCGTCGGGAGGATGTGAGGGTCAAACAAGTTGCAAGCAGAGAGGTGATCGCTCTGCCCGGCAGGAATCGCAGGATGCGGAAGCGAACTTTCAACTCACACCTGCCGAGGAGATTGCGACAACTGTCAAGCAACCAGGAAAAACCCAAGCCAGGTTTTTCAGGGGGTCCTCCAATTACTTTAAAAGCTTGGCCAAGTTTGTTTGGTTCGGATTGACGGATTCTCCCAAGCCTCGAGATCGGAATGGCTGCAACTGCGCTCCCTTTCGGCCGCATCGTGCGTGTGTTTGTCGTCGTTTGGTCGGTCCTTGCACCCCCTCTAGGAGAGGCAAGTTCGATCACGTCCAGGTGGGTGACCTAGTTACCTTTGGGCGACAGGCTGCGTGAGGACTGCAGATTGAAGAAGGGGGTGCTGAAAGAGGCAAGCTACCCTCCCACCGGCAAAAATGGACCCCCTCAGAGGGTCCCCTCTAAAGGAAAATGGGCTTTCAGGGCCAGAAATCAGTCAGGTGTCATATTAGTTGCACGTAGTACAGATTTATGCATTTCTATAGGGAATAACTTGGACTTGGGCACGCCCTTCCCCTTCCAAACAGCTTCAAGTGGTGTAATATTTCAATAGTTTTCATGTGTCTCCCAGGAGGGGACACCAAATCCGTGTGACGGAAATGTTCCGCGCGGTTTCCCTTAGGTCCCCATTAGCTGCGGCCGCCTTCTTTATGCTTTACATGGTTCTGGGATTACGACCACTTTAATACCGGGTTTTGACTATGACTCATGGTTCTGGATAGACCATTTTAGTACCAACATGTTGATTATGACTCATTTCAACACATTTTTCGTCGACCCGTTTCAGCCCCCCAAATCCGTAGCCCTCAAGTCGCACATGTACAGGTCTCAGCCGCTCGGTCATCGTCCGCTCCATGCCGAAGATGCCCAGCAGCCGCGGCCCCACGACCGGGCGGGCGGGCGGAGACGCGTCGTTGTTTTGGAGGGTCCTGTTTTCTGGATGGTTTGAAATGGAAGCCAAAAAAGCACCCCCCCAATTTGTTTGATTTTGGGGGTCCCGGATTTTTATCGTGCTCACAATATATATATATATATCATTGTATGGTAAGGGGATTTGCATAGAAACTAAGGAAAGACAAGCTTGTTGTTTCTTCTAATATGCAAGGCCCTTAAACGGAGTCAACCAGCAGTAAACAAAGCACCCTCCATTCCCATTGGTTTGCACGTGTTGGATTGCATGGCTTGAAGTTTGAATGGGGTTCGATTAGAATGGAATTCAGATTTCTATTTGTGAAGTAGATTTAAACTAGTACTTCCCTTCCAAATAGGACTTCAATTAACATTTAGTTGGAACGCTTAACTTAGTTTAGATTTGAAATAGGCACTTCGTTCCAAATACGAGTTCAGTTCGACTTTAAATAGAAGTTGTTTTTCGGTTCAGATTTCAAACATGAACTCTGTCCAATCCTAGGCAGGTTTGTTTGTTCCAAGGATAACTTTAATTATCAATAATTGGCTTGGAGCTTAATTGGAACTTAGTTATGCATCATACCAACATCTAGTAAGGAAAGATAAGCTTGTTTCTTCCAATTTGTTTGCCGCCTAAACAGTGAACACCTAAAAAGCACAAGCACAAACTTGAGAAAGTCCAAACAAGCAACAGCATCGGACAACAAAACAACAAATCATCAGAAAAACATCTTGAGAAACCCCCAACAAAAACAACTCGAAAGCAACGTAGCAAGCAACCTGGAGAAAACCAACATTTCAAAGACGCCCAAAGAACCATGTTTCCAGAACTCTTTCAACATGAGTTTTTCGAAGGCGTTTCCAAGTCGGGTGCTTGAGCTTTTGTATTTGTTGTTTTCGTGAGTTTGTTTTGGTTTTCTCTAATCGTTTTTGTTTTGGCTTGGGCTTCTCAAGATTGATTGGTTGGAGTTTGGCAATTGACCCACTTGACCCATGGGAAGAGTGCAAGAATCCCACTACTCCACGCCAACTCCAAGTCCCACTCCCACTGCACTCAGCCCCACTCCCAACCCCATCCCCTGAAAAACCAGACGGCAACAAGAACAACACCTCTTCGTGTAATCAAAGGGAAAGTTGAAGCTGGCAGGCGTCTCCCTTTGAAATTCTATTTTTGAAGCGATCGATTTGAGATCTTTTGCTTCCAGGCGATGGGCTCTTTGGTGCATTTTGCTTGGATCTTAAACACTTTAACTGTTTGCCAACTCACGGGTTTCCCATTAAATATTGGAGCGCTAAAAGTTATGTTAAAAATATATATATATATATATATTTAAAAAAAGAAGAAGAACAAAAACCTTTAGCAGAGCAGAAAGCAACCGAGGCAGCAGGTAGGCCACGACGTACCCCGAGCCAACGCGCCCAGGCGGGTCCCTGGGTGCGGTGGTGGGCAGCTCGCCGAGCCACGTGGCCGCCGCGCCGGTGACGCCGGAAGACTCAGCTCGCTTTCGCCCGCGCGCTTTCGCCCGCGCATCGAGCGAGGGCCACAGAACTGGCTGGCTCGATGCGGGGAATTGGGGGAATGAGTCGGAATGAGCCGAAAATAATTAAGGGGAAGGTGGGGAAGGAGGGGAATTTGCGGTACACATTACAGTGCAAGGGTCACTTGTGTGAGCTCTTATAGTTTTGGTTGTGACCGAATTACAAGGTTGAGCATTCAAGACAAATCCTTGGTTATCTACTATAAAGGTGTCAAAGGTATAGAGGCAATTGTGAGCCTTCGGGTATGTTTTTGCTTTGATTCTCGTTTGACCAAAGTCATCTTCAATTTATGGAAGTGGACAGGTGGCCGTTGGAAAACCATGCCAACATAACATAGCCTTCATTTTGGAAAATGACTGTTCCCCCCCCCCGGTCATCGGCGAGAAGTTACCCGGAAACTCAAAGGCCAGGCTAGCTTTGTAAGAGTTGTGTCCACCTGAAGTGCATGCCGACCTGGTTGAAGTTTTCGGGGAGCAAACAAGATCCTCAGTTTTTTGGCACAAGCGGCCTCATAATCTGCCAGGATCCCATTTGGGGTCATGACCTTTGATTGGTTTGGATTGCTAAGATCTGGGATTTGAATCCCCATTTCCTGAAAAGTAAATGAATTGGAGAGTTGCCCCAAGTCACGAAATAAGATTGTTAAGAGAATAAACCGTCAGGACCCTTCAAATGTGGTTTGTGTTCTCAGCTTTTTGCAAGATGTGTGGTTTGAGAAATCCCCAGGACTGCGTCTTGGTCTCTTCCATTACTGTCATGTTGAGCGTACTCGCCATGAGCCCCGGGCCGAAGTCCATCAGACCTTGCATGGAACCCGACGTTTCCGGCTCCAGGAAGCCTGTTTTCCTTGAGAAGGGACCGAGCCTTCGGTGGGTTCCAGGGCAACCCTGACAGGAGTTGCCCCTCAAAGCTTTTGGCTCTGCCGCAAGTGGTTCGGAGCGCACGCGCTCGGGCTCCGGTCGCAAAACCCAAATCACCAGCAAGCATGCAACTAACCAGCAATAAGAAACACGCGAAACAACGCACGGCAAAGACAAGCGATAGAGCGACAACAAAACAAAAAACAACATAGCAACAGAAAGAAGCAACCAACTCAAACAACCTGTACTTGAACCCACCCAATGACTCGGATTTCCCATAATATGGCCATGGGTCAAAAGCCCGTACCCCCAGTGAAAATCCGAATCCCCACTAAAATAGACTAAAATGGGTGATGCACCTACCCCAAAATGGTACCATTGGTTTTGAGCCACAGCCATATGTCCGTCTTTCTTGCACGGCTGAGGTACAAGTCCATGGCCGTGCCCAGGACCTCGTTGCCGACCGCCCAGGCGCTCGCTTGATCGCACCTGCCGTGGGGAAGTGGAGTGAACATGTACGTATGTATAAGAATACGAAGAATATATCATTAGTATTATTATTATTATTATACATATATATATATATATTATATACATATATGCATGTATACATACAACAGTGTATATACAAGTTATGTATGTGTGTGTGTATGTTATTTGAGGGTACCCTTCTCACCCAAAAAAGGGGCAATCACCATTGGGGGGGTCCAAATTTCGAATTTGACGCGTACCATAGGGTTTACTTCCCTGTACAATCCTACATTTAGGGGACTTTTTGTTTGGCCTCGTCCTTCACAAAGACTTTGACAAGGATCAGCCTAAACGAGGCCTGGGCAGCGGGCAAAATCAAGTGGAAGCAACTCTCGCGAAGATTAACATGGAGCCCGAAAGCCCTGCCTACCATCGTTAGGACTGTCATCTCCTCCTTCATTTGGTTTGGTTTTACCTGGAACAAAACCCAGCGAGTTGGATTTGTGCATCACCAGGTCTAGGGGCAAAAGTCGCCCATCCCTGGTAACAGCTGGCCTTGTGAAAAGGTGCTTCGGGACCCAAGGCCCAAGCGTGGAGGTCTGGGGTAACAAGGCCTGTGGCCTTACGGCTGAATTTCCATGCCTTGGTGTGTAGGTTCCCCACTGAAATCGAAACCTTCCAGCCTTGTGGGCCAAGGCAAACCCGCCAGACGCAGGATGCATCAAGTTGACGCAAGTGCCCTGGTGATTTTAAGACATGCTGAAGCACAGCCTGGGATCCTTGTGACATGACTCAACTTCGCCCTGGCAATGCCCCGCGGCCCGTGGCCCTGCAGCTTTGGATCTGCTTTTGGCGCGATGGGGATTTTTTCATGACACGCAGACCTAAAGGAGCATCTCCTTCCACTGGCAGTGGCTGTTTCCGAGAGAAAGCCATCTAAGTATGGGTCGAAATTACACCAACAGGAATTGGACCGCAGGTTTTAGTCCATGGTTCCATTTGCCAGGGCAAGCCATTTTGGGGTTACCCTATTGTTGACAACCACAGCCATCGGACCGTGGGACCTGCGCAGCGGTTCTCTTCGCGCGGCCCGCGCCCCAGACTTCTTTCGCCTTGCCACGTGCCATGGACGAGCTCGGAGCGTGACCGGACCCACGAAACCAACAGGCCTAAACCCAGGCTTGGCCCGACCCCATGGCTGCCGCTAAGCACGGGGCTCGATTCTGGAAGACAGAGTTTCCTCCATGTCCATTTTTTGGGAACCTCCCAAAGGGGCGATTGTTTCAAGGGAAACCAGTAAATTTTAGACAAACTGTTGATGTGGGGAAATCCAGTGACCCTTGTCGAAAGGTTGAGCATCCAACGGCTTTCGCGATGTAGCAAGGCGGCTCGCTGATGGCGCTTTGCCTTCCGAAGGGAATTGTGGAAAAGCACGTCCCGTCGGCCCGTGAGGCCTAAAAGTATGCAAACGAGCTGCACACCGAGGAGGAAGCCGAGAACAGGTAGGTCCAGGTAAGCCAGCCTTGCCCTTCTCCACGAAACCGAATCACGAACTCTTCCCTCAGAGTTTCGTCGGGGTGTGGGTATGTGTCAAAGCTAACCTCTTAGTTGTGGTTTCAAGACGGAAGTAATATAGACACCCAACGCTTGACTGGGGTCCCGGTTTTTAAGTACAGCCCTGTGTGCTTTTTGTTTGCAAGTATTTGTGCTTATGTGTTTGTTTGTTTGTGTGTTTGTGAGAGTGTGTGTGTGTGTGTGTGCATGTTGTGTGTGTGTGTGCGCTGTGTGTGCATGCGCGTGTGCGTTGTGTCCTGTGTGTGTGTGTGTGCGTGTGCTGTGTTTGCGTGGTATGTCTTGTATGTGTGCGCGCTGTGTGTCCTATGTGTCCTCTGTGTCCTTTGTGTCCTGCGTGTCCTGCGAGTCCTGTGTGTGTGTGTGTGTGCGCGCTGTGTGGCGTGTGTTAGTGCTTGTGCTGGTGTTTATGTTTGTGCATGTGCTTGCGCTTGCGCTTGTGTTTGTGCTTATGTGTGTATTATATTATTTAATTCTTTTTGTGTTGTGTGGGTGCCGTGAATGTCTGGTGTTGTGTTTGTGCTTGTGGTTGCCTGGCTCGGGCGAATTCGAATTCGCACGGTCCATGGCTAAGGCCTCATGTCCATCGCAGTGGTCTTTGAGCACGCGCCCAAGTTTCGATCGCCTGCACCGGTGCTTTCGTTTGGGTGGATTCCTTTTTGTTTATTATATATGACCCGCGGTGTGCAACTTCCCCATTCTTTTCAGGCATCATTTTTGTCATAAAGCCACCTTCAAAACTTAGGGAATCGCCTTGATTGTGAAAACGAAGTATGGTTGAACGGAGCAGACAAGGAGTTAGCCCCAATCATTGATTGCAACAGGATTGTAGGGAGTTTGCCCATCGGGGCGCAAATCCCTTCGAACATGTGAAGCTGCGTGCAGTGCAGCACCTGATGTGGGAATTTCGTCCCGTCAACCTTTGGGTTAATTAAGACATCATGCGGATGGCCGGGGAACTGCCATCCTTATTTGAGTTTGCACTGCGACTCACGTCGTCATACTCCCCTTCTTGTTTGAGTGTCCTTTCGGGTGTTTGATAGGAAGTATAAGGGTGTCCTGAAGTTGGAACCCGTTTCGGAACTGGCGAAGAAAGACACGCGTTCTTTTCTAATAAGAGGGGGTTGTCCTCGTTGTTTCGAAGCAGGACGGCCCGGCATGCGTTAAGCCGGGCCGCGGCAGTTGGGATTTTCCAAGGGGCATTCTCAAAGTTGGGAACCCGTCTAAGGGATGGTGTTCGAAGTTTAGGGGGTTTGTTTGGGAAACACCGAAATGAGGTTGGAGGGATCCCATTTTCTCGGCTAAGGGAAGCCGTGCAAGGGCCTCACCAGAAAAGAGGGGGCCTCACAATTGTTACACTAACTTCCCACCAAAACAACACGAAAAACACACAAAGTGTTAACAAAGAAAGAAAGTGACTCACAAATAGTCCACACAGATTGTAGAGGTTCACTCCCAAATGTTCAAAAAGAAGGGCCCTCGCAAATTTGTCCCCCATCAAGGAGGCATGTTGACCGTCAGGATCGATCATGCCACCTCGCGGCCGGGGCAAAGCATCTATGTGGCCGTGGGGCCCAGCCTGTCCAGTGGCTTTGAGTGAAGCGGGCACAGTGACTCGTCTCCCCGGGTTCCTCAAAACCGGGGAAGCACCAAAGTGGGTTGGCTGCCTTGGGTTTTCCTCGACCCCAGAAAGGCTTCCCTCGAAAAGGGCCAAACCTAGCTCCCAACAATCCTTGTGATTGCATGGTGTGGAGAGAGCAGTGCCGCAGTGCCCTGCTTACAAAATCATGGACCTCCTGCTTCCAGAAAGTGCCAGAAAGGTCTCCTTTAGCCTTTACCAGTTTGCGGGGGAACCCCCTGGGTGAGGGATCAAGCTTGGGCCTGATTTATTCAGCCTTACTTTGGCAAACTTTGAGACCCGGCTTCGTCGTCCCGGCTTCGTCGTCATTTCCGAAGCCCCTGAAAATGGTTGTTGTTGGGAAATATTTGAAACATTTTTGCTGATTGTGGTTTAGTGGTTGAAATCCATCCACTTAACTGCTAAAATTCGAGATTTTTTGCTCCCCAAACCCAACGTCAACCGAGTGAAGCTTAAACCTTTATCTGAAATGGTGGTCCCTTGAGCAGGTCAGTTGAACAGACCTCGGGGCAAAAAAAGCAACAAAAAACGCAGATAAAATACTTTTTAGTGGCAAACAAGGAAGTTGGGGCTCTTTTTAGCCAACACACCCATCAAGTGAGTTCCGCTTTGTGAGTTAAAGCCGTTTGTCCAGATCCCCACAAACCTCCTTGGGTGTGACCCTAGCTCAGAGCTCACTTGCGCGCTGCACGGAGGTTGGCAGCCATCCCGGAATGGGCGGCTGGCAGCCGGCAGGAGACAGTGCCTTCGCATTCTTTTGGCAGACTTGAAAGTACAAGTCAGGGCTTCCATGTCCTCTACACTTGGCTCCCAGCCATCCGGTTCCTTAGCCTTTTCGCCTTTTAGCCTTTTAGTGCGTGGTAGTTTCCAGTCAACCCAGTAAAAGTTAAGCCTTCGGGGGATCTGAGGGCCCAGTACAGGGAAGTCCCTTTGAACCACAAAGAGGGGGTGCCTGGGTACCTGCCGTGGTGGGAGCTGGGATCCCCCGGCCAAGGGAACAAAGGCCGTCTGAGCAGGTGACATCGAGCTCTCGGAGAGTGTGGTTGGCGAGCATTGGGCTAATCAGTTTGATCGGTGCAAGCGTTTCAATAACAACGCCTTTGCAAGAGTGGTCGTTGTTCTCGTTCGCCCTGGAGAGATGCGCGTCTCTTGCTTCCCAATGAGGTCAAGTAATGTTGACCCCGGATTACAATTAATAGCCCCCAGTGTATTAACAGCGGGTGCCCCAGGTTTTAGTCGAGAATCATCACTTTCGGAGGGGAACCCGCCCATGCCCATAAGTTGGGGCTGATGAAGAGCATTCCCATACGAATAAAAACTGGGGCTGGGACTAATTTGGGGGTCAACATCACAGGGGCTGCCAATTTTCCCCGCTGGAAGTGGGCCCCTTCTGGAGGAGCTGGCTTTCAGGACCGGCGCCTCTCCACGAGCCCTCTGACTTACCCCAGGCGAGGTGAGGGAAGCCGAGTGAACGGTTCCTTCCAAGCAGATTTTTTTTCTGGGCTGTTCGAATGCAATCATTTATCCTTATGGCACATGGTAGAGTAATCCATGGCTTTTTCCACGGACTGAGGATGAGGATTCGGGCTCCCTTTTTTTGGTGATAAGAGTGGTTTGGATTTGGACTCGAACTCCTGGCTCTTGTAGAGGGTAGGAAACCACCCCCAACCACACCACCAATCCAAATCACCCATTCGGGGGAAGCAATCCGATCCCCTGCAGAAGACTCAAATCGACAAAAAGACTGGAGGTGTGTTAGGAGAGTGGGAGCAGTTGTAGATTTACGGCA